AAAGAACAACAAAATGTAAGATATAGAAGATGGTGATGGTGAAAAAACATGACACTGATTGGACAAGGGCCATAGTAGACACACCAAGTCAAGAGATAAGTGGTGAAACCGCCACTTATTTAGGAGCAAGATAAGGTCATGGAGTCTCCACCCTAGGGAGAAGATGCTCACAGAAATATGGTTGGACAAAAGAGTTTTTTGATTTCAAATGTTCAACCCCTATAAAGGAGAAGAAGCACCCCTTAAATAGATAGTCTTGGGGGCTTCTTAGCAAATAACAAAAGTTCTAAAAGGGTACATTTGTAAACCCTAAAAATATCTTTTACAAACCTAACATGAAAGCAAGGAACACTAGTACAAAACAGGCTTTTAACATCGGTTCCCAGGGACTTTTAACATCGGTTCTAGAACCGATGTAGATACAGCCGATGTAGAAAGTCACACTTTCTACATCGGTTCCTAAGGAACCGATGTAGAAAGTGTGACTTTCCACTTTCTACATCGGTTCCTAAGGAACCGATGTAGAAAGTCTAATATTTTTATATATTTTATTTATTTTATTTATTTTATTTATTCATAACCCCTCTCCAATTACCCTATCTATTGATCTAGAGGTCTCCTCTCCCTTTTATATTATATTTTTATTATTTATTATATTATTTATATTTTTTAGAAATTTGATTTATTATCAGATTAAGAGAATTGTCACTTGGCAAGATTCGAACCCAAGTACCTTAGAGTCTGAGGCCGATACTCCAACCACTAAGCTATTAGGATTTTCTCGATAATAACTTATACATAAATTATATTTATATACAAATAAAAATGTATATCCATGTAAATATATAAATATAAAATATATAAATATAAAATATATAAATACAAATACAAATATATTTATATATTTTATATGTTGGATGTGAGGAATTAAAATATATTTTAGTGACCGATTCGATGACCGATTCATTGACCGAATTAGTGACCGAATCGAGTGACCGATTCAGTGATCGAATCAGTGACCAACTTGGAATCGATCACTATTTCCTTGGTCACCGATATTAGTGACCGATTCGATGACCGATATATGAAGGGATAATATTGATATATTAATATATGAGGGGATAATATTGATATATTGATATATTTGTATATATATATATATATATATATATTTATATATATTTATATATTGATATATTTATATATTAATATATTTATATATTTATATTTTTATATGTGCAGGGGCGTTTCGCTCGAAGCGATAGGATTGTCGCTTAAGCGAAACACAACCCGAGAATGCCAATTTTGTGCAGGGGGCGTTTCGCTCGAGCGAGAAGACTGTCGCTCAAGCGAAAGACATTTTAGATAGCGGTTACACAGGAACCGCTTTTAAAAGCTCACTTAGATAGCGGTTAACCTAGAACCGCTATGATATCGTTCAATTATGATCGATCAAAATGCAATTATGACCGATCATAATTTTGTGCAGGGGGCGTTTCGCTCGAGCGAGACGATTGTCGCTCAAGCGAAACACAACCCGAGAATGCCAATTTTGTGCAGGGGGCGTTTCGCTCGAGCGATAAGACTGTCGCTCAAGCGAAAGACATTTTAGATAGCGGTTACACAGGAACCGCTTTTAAAAACTCACTTAGATAGCGGTTAACCTGGAACCGCTATGATATCGTTCAATTATGATCGATCAGAATGCAATTATGACCGATCATATTTTGTGCAGGGGCGTTTCGCTCGAGTCAGGGATTTTCGCTCAAGCGAAACATTTATTAATTCTATAATTTTATATAATTATTATTATTATAAATTTAATTTTCTAATAACTAATAATATTAACACATTTATTAAATTAAATTTCTTTATTTTAATTAATTATTTTAAATTTTTAAAAAATATTTTTCAAATAAATATGATAAAACTTAAAATTAATTTCTAACTAATAATATGGTTAATAGTATATTATATTATTATGTTTAATTAAATTTTAAAATAAATTTACTTAATCTTTACAATTTATATAAAAATAACTAATATAAACTTAAAATATATATCTAACTATTAAATTATCCAAAATATTAATATAAATTTAAAATATCAATTCAAGTAATTAAAAATAATTTTAATTTTTTTATAAATATATTAAACTGAATTTTTCGGTCACTAATTTCAGTCACTATTAACCATTTTTCTAGTAGTGTATAAAGATTATATGCTATATTATTATAAATAAATTATAAAGATTATATTCTATCATTAAATTACAAATTCATATAAAGAGACTCGCTCACAAATTTGACATCAAATTTTGAAAACCCACTTGACACACACTTTCACTCTCGAGCGCGCTCTCACATCCAACATATAAATATATAAATATATTTGTATTTGTATTTATATATTTTATATTTATATATTTACATGGATATACATTTATCGAGAAAATCCTAGTAGCTTAGTGGTTGGAGTATCGGCCTTCGACTCTAAGGTACTGGGTTCGAATCTTGCAAGTGATGATTCTCTTAATTTTATAAAATGACTTTCTACATCGGTTCATCTGAGAACCGATGTAGAAAGTATTTTCTACATCGGTTCATCTGGGAACCGATGTAGAAAGTGTTTTCTACATCGGTTCATCTGGGAACCGATGTAGAAAGTCTTGAATCCACTTTCTACATCGGTTCTTAAAGAACCGATGTGGAAAGACCGATGTTAAAAGTGATTTCTGTACTAGTGGAAAAGACAAATGGAATGTTGGACTTCCTATAGTGATTCTTGGCTAAGACTAAGGAGGAGACCACATGTGTCTCATTCATCACCATAAAACACCTTTATCTTTATGCTTTTGCTTTATGCTTAATGCTTTCCACTTCATGCACATGTGGTTCAATCCTAGCTTGCCATGTGGAGAGTCCTAATCATCCTCTTCATCCATGTTTAACCTACAAGACACACAAATGAAATTAGATTAGCAATGTTGACTTGGGTCAAGTCAACTCTAGTAAAAAAGTCAACCAAAGTCAAGGTTAACAAGTCAACTAGAATTAACTCTACTAAATTCAATTTAGGGAATTCAAATTAAACTAATGGAAAATAAAGACATGGTAGAACTAGAAGACTCACCTATACATTCATCAACTTACCAAGTTCATTTCTTGAATAGAAAAAAAGAATAATAGTAATAATAAGAAATTTTGAAGAGATTGATAAAAAAAAAGAGAAAAAAAATTTATATGGTGTGACAGATTTTATATATATATATATATATATATATATATATATATATATATATATATAAAGTATATATATAATTTAAGATGGCTGTAGTCAAATATTTTGAAACTATTTATTGAAATTTATGAGTGAATAATTATATTATTATTATGATAGTTATAAATATAGTGTTGATAAGATGAAAAAAAAATATTAATAACTATTCTTTAAAATGTATAAATATTTAATGTAATTTTTAATTTTATTAAATCAAGTTTGACTCATTAATTATTCGTTTGAGGTTATTATATAGTAGTTATTAATCTTGAATTTAAATTTTAAATGTGCTTTTATTATATTTTAAAAAAAAAATTTCTATAATATTATTATTGTCAAAATCGGTCCAAGATTATTAACTCAAGAAAATCTAAAAAATAAATAAGAAAAAATATGACCTAAATTAAATTAGATTATAATTATTATATTTTTTAAAAATAATATTATTTTATAATATATATATATATATATATATATATATATAATATCAAAATTATTATATTTATTTAAAATTTAGGTTTTATTTAAAATTAAATTTTTATGTATTTTTTATTTTTTTTAAATGGACTAAACTTTTTTACTATCCTATTAATCCGATATAACCTGTCCAAACTTAAAAATATAGTCTAATTAAACTATAACGACTTAAACAATTTTTTTAAAGCTTGTCAAGTTAAACTGAACTAACATGACACTGAGATTTAATGTATGATATTTGAAGTCAAAGAAAATATGTGAATACTTCATTAAGATTGAGCTAGAATACATACGATATATGAAATATCAAATTTATAACCTAAAAATTAAATTATTTTTTTGTAACAAATGCGACTAAATATAGATTATGTCATACATTTATATTATCTAAATTAATTTATTGTAATGTCATAATAAATTTATATTATTTTTTATTAATAAAAATATAATCCATAATAAAAAGATTTAATAAAACTTTTGAAACTTTATCATAGAAAAACATATAAGGATTTATAAATACTATAAAATAGATTATAATTTCTATTTCTTCCCGCTCTAAGCCGTAAAACATATGAAAGAAAAATAACTAACTCTAAAATAGGAAAAAAAATATAATGATAAATGAAAGAAATTTATAGATATTATCTAATTTCTACCTTCATTAATAGTTAATCATATAAATACAAATTTAATATCTTTTGTATTTTTTTATTCTTGACATTATTTATTATTTATCATATTATTATTTATTATATATTCTTCTTTCTTATCATCAAACATTGTAATATTATCCACTTTGAAGTTGAAATTTGATTTCATCACTATTTTATCTTTAGACACGTAATGTTTATAAATATCTTTATACACCCACATTTCACTATTTTCAAAAAGATCTTACGAGTATAATTAAATTCTCATTTAAAATCCCTTATATATTACTCTTTATCTTTTAAGAACATACAATTCTTTCAAAAGTACAAAACACATAAAAGAAAAATAATATGACTAAAAAAATAATATTGATTAATTAAAGAGAATCATTAAAAGTAAACACATAACTTCTCACTCGTCAAATGAAACATAACATGATAAATAGATAACACTCCACTTATTCCACTCTTGTGACACGCTACAACAATTGACTTTAAATAAAATAAAAAAGTAAAAGCACAATATTTAGAGAGATTTTCTTTGATTTTAGTAATTTGTCATATCCTCCCTTTATGTAGTGACTTTCACATCATTCACCACCCACGAACCCCAAGGGTAACTGGGTTGAACTCCAACAAGTCATCACCCCCATTGAAATTATTAGGGTTATTGTTATAATTGAGGTTGTTATTATTGTCATTATGATTGTCATCCCTTTCTGAACATTCGATCGTGTACTTCAAAATATCAGGGTTATTGTACATGGAGATTGTGACCCTAACATTCTCACCAGCAATGACTCTACCACCAACGATGCCGCAAAAGACTTCACCTTGAGAGGTGGAGAGGTTGATCCCAAAGGATAAGGGAAAGGGTGGGGAGGCTCCGGGGTGAAGGGTGTATTGGTTGTTGTATAAATAGGAACCAGTGAGGGAGACCAAGGTAAAGGGTCCATGGAGTATGAGAGAGGATGTACTGTGGCTTGAAGATTGGAGAGTCACCTTGTTGATTGTTCCAGAAGCACTAATGACGGTGATACTAACATGGTCTCGATGCGCAATGTCAAAGATAGACTCCATGACATCATTGTTTGGAGCTACATTGAAAGTGAAGACATTCATAGAGGAATCACTAGATTGGACCATTTGGAGATTGGTAAATCTTGACTTGTTCTTTGAGCTTGAAGACTTGCCTCGTGACCTTCTTGTAGAGGGAGTCATGAAAGGCTTAAAATAAACACAACAGATATTGTAAAAGGTGAATAATAGGCTAAGGGCAAAAGTGAAATGTTTTGAAGTGAGAGAGTCTAAATGATCAAAACGAGGGTAGAAGACTTGATTGAGATGGTTAAAACTTTGTCTAAGGAGAATTTATAGTGTGATGATAATGAAAGTGTTTCTCTAAACCGTGGATGATTAAATCTAGGGGCTTGTAAAATTGGTTTCATGAATAAAAAGACAACGAGGAATAAAAAAAAGAAAAGATATTGATGTACACAAAAAGACAAAATATTTTTATGGTTTGACAAATTTTATAAAAAAAATATAATTTAAAAGTTGGAGTAGTCAAATATTTTGAAATCATTTATTAAAATTGATATGTAAAATAATCTTATTTAAGAATTATGTTATAAATATACTTGACATAATAAAAAAAATAAAAAATGATAATGATTATTATTTTAAATATATAAATGTTTAATGAAATTTTTAATTACATGAAAGTTAAGTTTGACTCATTAATTACTAGTGTGAGGTTATTATATAATAATCATTAATTTTAAATTCAATTTTCAAATGTGTTTTTATTATAAATTAAAAAAATTATATAGTATTATTATTGTCAAAATTGTATAAGATGATATTTCAACTCAAAATAAAAAAAATGGGTTAGATAAAAAAAATTATGAATCAAATTTAATTATATTTAAAAATAAAATTATTTTATTAAATATATATATATATATATATATATATATATATATATAATATATTAAATTATTATATTTAAATTTAAAAGATAATTTTTAAATATATATTTACTTTTTAATTAAAAATTAATTTTTATGTGATTTTTACTTTTTGAAATCGTGAAATTGTTTGTTAACTCGTTAATTGAAATATAAAAATCAATGACACTCATGTTATTGCTTGCGTTTTAATGATAAAATATAATTCAATAAAAAAAATGTGTCATGAAAATTGGGTTTAATAAAATGTTCCTTGTCATGTGAATTTTATATGAATTTTATTCATTGATGAAAAAGAAACTAATACTAATTTTTCATAATAATAATAATAATAATAATAATAATAATAATAATAATAATAATAATAATATATTTAGATGTAATATGCGACTGTCTTGATTGTTTTTATAATTCTTAAAATTTAAATTATTGATATTAATTATTAAATATTACGAGTCATTGTGCATTTTTAATTGAAAAGATTCATTATTGTAATATATTTATTAAAAATCTATTAATTTAGTTATATAAATTTAATATGTCTTAATCATTGTGTCCTCTCAATTGAATTATTTCATAATTATTAATATAAAAATATAAAGAATAGTGATAAAAACTAAATGCCCTTCACTCTTTTAATCCTTATTTAATAATTAGATTTCTTTTAATCTTTAATTAATAATTAAATTTATACTTTGACTTAAATAAATCAAACAATATTTGATGACATTGCATCTCACTTTATTGACCGAAAATTGAATATTATATATATTCTCTTTCAAAGTTTTGTTTGTTAATATTTATTAATGATTTTGATGTTGAAATTTAACAATTATTAAATATACCTTTTTATATATTATATTTTTATTTTTTATACTCATTTATTATTTATTAATAATATATTATTTGATCATCAAAATTAATATTCAAGATCCACTAAGTAAATATATATATATATATATATATATATATATATATATATATATATATATATATATATATAAAATAAATTAAGTTTTTCATGAGTTAATTTTAATTTAGGCATATATTAATTTGTAAAAAAAAATATAACTTCTTAATTTTTTTTTCAATTTATAATAAACTAATTTAACTTAATTTTTCTTTTTCTTTTTTTTTTCTCCTAAAAATCCCTCAATTTCTCCACATACTCTTTGGATTCCGCATGATGGGTTTTCTTTTTCTTATCATCGTTTCTTCAGATACATTTATTTCATACCTTTCGGAATTTGTTGCGTATTATGTTGACAAAATTGGTTTAAACTGCCCCCACCACCCACCAGAACTTCAATGTAGTATACAAATTTCGGCTCTAATTTCTCTATCATTGATCATCACATGGGACCAATATTTGAGGCTACAGATAAAAAAACACTTCAAAAACACACTTAAATTCGCTCAATCCTAGAATATGCTGAAAATGTTTAATAACAGGTGCCTTTATCAGATTGGTTTAGGATCACAACAAGGTTTTCTCTAGCAAGGTATATACCAATCATTGCAAAATAAAGCATCAAACCCTTCCCAACAGTTCTCTCTAATGCATCCAACAAAACTTTCAAAAAGCAGGTAAGATTTTTGTAGCTATATATATGACTTGAGGATGGTGATACCAGCCTCAAACAAAAGGAGATTGAGACATGTTGCATAGCATGCATGTCTTCCAATTTGGTTTTAACTAAAATCAACCACTAATATACTTTTGTTTGGTGAATAACCAGTGATATACTTTCCTTTTTATAAAACAACTTCAGCCTGGCATCAACCAAGTCACTCTGAGAAAATGTTTCTAACTTTATCAAAGCCTTTCAAATCACTCTAAATGTTAATTATGCATTAAGCAAAATGATGAACTTAGTTTCAAATCTAAACCATTATTAGTTATGACATTAGACAATTTCTTGCAATTCACTTCAGCTAAATTTACTACTGCTATCATCACTGAATGAATTTGCTAACTTTTACTACATAGTGAATTAACACATCTCAAGATTCTCCATGATTTCAATAGCACAGGAAATTGACAAAAGCATTCCCATGAATACATTGCAGAGAAAGAAATACATATTCACTGAGGTCCCTTTTATAGGGTACAGTAATGCACTCAAAAAATAAAGGGGTGGTTAAACAACACAGGATTAACTCAAAAAATATTTGAAGAAACTGAGGTACCCCATGTTACATAAACTAAACTCTCATGCCTTCCTATAACAAAACTATTCATGCGGCTGTTGCATCAAGATATAACTTCTTCTGAGATTTTGGGCTGTCAAAACCAGAAACTAATCTATAAGATACTGAAATATATTCAAGGAATTGAACTCTCCGAATAGATGTTCTTCATACACTGTGACTTGGGCATCAAATCTCTGATTATATGCTTAAAGGGTATATGCTTAAAGGGCATAGTTATCTGTCAATCATACATTGCATCAAGATATAACTAGAAAAATGCTCGGCTACCGTAAAATACACGTGATCCATCCTTTTTCTTATCAATTTCTAACTTGCTGTTATGATTTTGAATCACATCGCCATGGCCATGGCCTTTACTCTCAGGTTTATCAAGGTCCATAGGGAGCTTCATTTTTTCCAAAGACTCTGTGAATTGTTGCATGCTTCTCATATACATGTCAACTATTTGCTGCTGCATAGCTGATTGCTCAGCTTCCATATTGATGTTCCCTAGTGGAGCAGAAAAAACTCCACTAAATCTTGCAGCTTCTGTATTCCTATCACTATTGATATCCATTTCCTTGCTTGATGGGAACTTTGATTCCTTATCATCTCTGGCTTCAGTTTCTTTCTTGGATGTTGGGGTATCTGGAATAGCACCAGAGTTCTGACTACCTGTAACTGAAACATTGAAAGAATTTGTTGACTCAACCCTCAAATTACTCTTGTCCTCAATTGAATCATCTGAGTTTCTATCATCACTTAAGCTTGTGGTAGTAGAGCTTGGGAACACAGAATTCTGAATGCTCTCATTTGGAGAAGTGGACTCATGATTCTCATCTGGTACTGTCATAGTCATTTCATGATCATCACCTTGAGGAGAAGCACCAAGGTGAAGAAATGGTAGAAATCCTACTGAATTAGGCCTTGAAGCAGAAGAACCATAAGATTCCAACTTGAAGTACTCAGAAACCATTTTCTGGTTCTCCTTCATCCTACTGACATCAGGAAATTCAATTCTAGAATACTTAACTGGGTCTGCGACATCTTCAGAGACTTTTGGATCAAGCAAAACAACTTCTGAGGATATTGATGAATTAGTAGCTGATTGTGATATGGAATTCACAGGGGAACTGATTGGAATGTATGTGTCCAAAGAAAGTGTTAATTGGACAGTTCCAGCAGGACAATGGAAAAGATCAGTGGAGGAAAGGCTATAATCTTCTGTCACCTTTCCTTTGCCAACAACTTGTGAAATTTGGACCAAAGCAAATCCCAGAAGCTGGTCTTCCAAATGATTTCTTGACCTGCTAAACATCCAAATCTCACACTTGAGAACAGCATCCATCTGGGTAATCTTCATCCTCAAGTTTTCATTGAATATTGGGTTTCTTCCACCTCCATTTATGATTCCAGTGGAGAGAGTGTCATCAGGGTTGTATGTAAGAGAGAACTTAGCATAGACATCCTGATTATCATAGATGCATATGTTATGAATGTTCCTAGCATGATGAACATAGATATCAAGAATCCCTGAGAACTCGGCATCATCATCTGCATGATTCATTGTGTTCGAATTTGGATTGTACCTGAAGCTGGTACTTGGATGACTCTGATCGAATGAATTCATTCTGACCTGCTGTTACCACCAGAAACTTTGTTCTATAACTTGCCAGAAATATTCTCAAGAATAAGAAACTATAGCACAAGCAGAGTTCAGATAGATATTTTAGTTCATCAATGATCATACAACAAGGGTACTTATCCAATTTCCTAATACTCTTTGGAATGAGTTTTCAAAATTCAAAACACATTTTTCATTATAATAACAAACTTCTGATCAATGGAAAGAGAGAAAGCATGTAAAGGGTTAAACAGAACTAGAACAGAGTTTTCCAACCTAGTTGAATGAGTAACAGCAGAGACTTGTTAAAACCTGGTTCTAAATATTCACTGGATGATGATGTTCTTGAAGGTTGAAGATGTTTGTCATATGAATCCAAGAATTCAGACACAAACAATCAAGAAAAGTGTGAGAAAAAGAAACAGTTAAGGTGTAATGAAGTGTGTTGTTTTGATGGAAATGGAAGGGAGGGTTAAGGAGCATGTTGTGGTAGTAGGTGAAAAAATGAAGGATGAAAGCATGGAAATGAACAGGGAAAATGATGATGACGTAATGGGTTGGTTGGATGCCACTTTTTTCTTTGATTGATTCTGTTTTTCCTTTTACTGGTATGAAATAATTGTATACAAGGATATATTGGTGTACCACCAATTGAGTAAAAATATGATAGTAAATCACTTAACATAAAATTGAACATGTTTAAAATGAAAGATAATAGGTGAAAAAAGACATAGAAAGGTATAAGGAGAGACATATAGATAAATGTAAGAAAGAAGTATATTGAAAAAAATATGTATCAGTTCTACTATTTCTAAAAATGCATTTACTCTACTTCTCTTACATTAAACATTACCACATATCATCCACACATTTCTTATTAACCAAATAGGTTTTTACAAAGAATAGAGTGAATTTAAGGTAAATCTCATGAATATAACATCTCTAAAGATTTGATCTTTGATAAAAAAAAACAGTGGTGTGATTCATGTGTGGTTTTTGTAGTCAACCTTCTTTAATGGAATAAGATTTTTGTTGTGAGTTATTAATCTTTCTTTTGGGTGGGGGACAGAAGGGTATGTGTGTTTTTCTTTGGTTGGCAATGCAACTTCCAATTTCAGTGACTCCTTGATCAACTCACTAGGAGTATTGTTGGCATTGTGGACCCACAGAAACCCAATTACTCTACTTTGCATGATTAAAACCTAGAAAAATCTCTTCACATTGCTTCTATAAAATCCGGTGGGCACTAGCCTCTCTTTTTCTTGTTTCCCTTTATCAAATAGTGTGTAAATCAAATCTATGAATAGGGATTGAAGATTGTTATGGTGGAGTGTATTAGAGAACAAAGCTACAACACAAGAAAACCCTTGGAGCAACTCTAGAAAGCTTCAATCGCCATAGCTTATTGATCAAGTTCAAAGTAAGTAAGAGAAATAGGGAATCCATCAAATGCCTTGTAAGTACAACTATTGCAATTCATATAAACACAATTTTTCAAAATGATGCCAATGCCATACAATACTATTATTATAACTTTTATTTTATATGATGTCAGTGATACAAATTACTTACCAATTTTACTTATGTAATTTTTTATTAAACAAAAAATCTTTAATTTACCAATTATTTTAAAAATAAAATATATTTCATATGTCAACTTCATAATATTTTAATATAATTTTACTTATATATTGCTACACATTTAAGAACATTAAGAAAACGTGTAATAAAGTTGATAGTACACAAACTTAAAATATTCTATATATTCACAATATTTTAATTTAAAATTTTTAATTATGTATTCTTTCTTTATTATTTTCATATTTATATACAAAATTTAATATAAATATACTAACATTAATAAGTAAATAATATAAATATAATATAATAAAATAAAAAAAATATTAATAATATTAACATAAAATAACACTACACAAATATATAAATATGAATATAAAAAAATATGTACAACAAGTAATATATATATATATATATGGGCGTGGGCGTGGGCGTGGACATGGGTGTGGGTGTGGGTGGTAGGTGAAAACAAAATTCAGAATTTGACCCACGAAATTAATTCTGACTATTTTTCGGATAGTACGGATTTTTTATTTTCATTATCGGAAATCTGACTTTACACTATAAACAAATTTATTTAATAAATAAAGTTGGTGAGATCTATTTAAAAAAAAATTCCATTCAGTATTATTATAACTTTTATTTTATATGATGTGAGTGATGCAAAGTATTTACCATTTTTACTTGTGTAATTTTTTTTATCAAAGAAAAATACTTTAATTTATCAATTATTTTAAAAATAAAATATACTTTTCGTTTTCCTATAAATATTTTAAATTAGTCTTTATTAGTTTAATCTTTGTAAAATTAATTAGATATTCTAAAAAAAACTTCTCATACGCAATTATTTGTAATAACTTATTTTCACTATAATAAAATATGTGAACTTAATTAAAGTTAAAATTAAAATCTCAAATTAGAAGAATGATACTCCCTCAAATTTTAAAAATTTATTATTTTCTAAATAAAATTATTCTTTTTTTAATCATTCTAACTTTTTTCAATAAATATCATTAAAGACTTAAATAATTGATAATTAAAAATATAATATATATCAGAACATATTTGAATCTATTTAAAATAATATTAAAGTAGTGACGTAAATACATATCCGATTGAGTAAAATATATTTTTTTAATCTTCATATTTAGAATATGTTATAGTAATCCTTAAAAATAGTTATATTAATTGAGTTATTGTAATTTTTTTTTATAATAATCATTATATTGAAAACTAAATCAGATAATTAATTTAGAAATTTATTTATTATTTTAAAATAATTAAATTTTAATTAAATTTTAATTAAATTGGTATAAAATTAAAAAAAAGGCTAAATTGTTGAGTTAAACCAATTTTAGTAAAAAAATTAGTATCAAAATTTTTAGTGTTTTATTAAATCTAATTTTTTTATAAAAAATATAATAACTTTTTTCAGATTAATCACGTTAATTTTAAATTATAATTATTTGATTATATTTTTATTTTAAATATTATTTCTTTTATATTTTATGTTTATAATATTCATTATAATTTAAGGTAAGATAATAATTTTTATTATAAAAAATATTATTAATAATATATTTATTATATTATAAGAATATTATTTTATTAAATTTAATTGAATATCAGATGTATTTTTTATCAAAGTATTAATAATTAATGTAATATTTTATATTTCTGGCGACAAAAAATATATTTTATTTTTATTTTAAATTATTTTCGGTCATTTGAGTTGAACTTAAGTTTCTCTGTCATAGTTATTGAATCAGTTCTAATTAAGATTATAAAACGAAAAAAAAAACCAGTAGATGGATTTATAATTTTAATCTATTAATTTGTTTTTCTTCATTTTCCTTAACTCATTAACTTGATGACAAGTAGATTCACACATTTAAAAAAATATTTATATATTAAAATAAAAAAATTATAATTAAAAAAATTATATTATTTTTATTATGTTATTAAAATATAAAAATATTATAATATTATAATTTAAATTATAAAAATTAATCAATTAAAATTAGATTATTAATTATAATTAATTATTATAATATATATTTAAATTTTTAATTTATCTAATAAAAATATTAATTAATAAATAAAAATTTTAAAATTATTTATATAAATTTAATATATATTATTAAAAATACATATAGAAAAATTATATGGAAAAAAATTATTCACTAACTTGTTCGTGGCTCGTTAAAAACACCGGTTGTAAGATAGATAAGTAAATTCTATCTTATGCATTAAAAACAGGGACGATATAAAACAACCAGAACCGATTTGCGATACTATTATTATTAATGCTAAAGAATTCAACTTTTTTTCATAAATAATATTATTTTTAAAAATATTTCCCAAAATAGTACATCTGGAACATTATTTACACAACTAACACTCTTTCCTGTTCACGTATTAAAATAATCGATTATTTTATATTATGATCGATTATTTCGCGCAATCAACTCTCGCTCAAGCGAAGAAACCCCTCGCTTGAGCGAGGAAATCTGTAACAAAGGGGTAATCTTGGGTCAATTCTCGCTCAAGTAGCGAAGAAACCCTTCGCTTGAGCGAGGAAATCTGTAACAAAGGGGTAATCTCGGGTCAATTCTCGCTCAAGCGACGGGTATTTTCGCTTGAGCGAGAAGTGATTAAAATATGTGGTGACCCAAATTGCATTATGTGGCTAACTACGTTGGACGTTTAGCCTGTGGTCAATTCTCGCTCAAGCGATGAGTTACTTCGTTATGTGTCACTTTTAAGAGCGGTTAATATTTTAACCGCTCTTAAAAGTGAACATATAATAGCGATTCCACGTTAACCGCTATCTAAAATATACTTTTAATAGCGGTTAGTTCTAGAACCGCTATCTAAAATCTCGGGTCAATTCTCGCTCAAGCGACGGGTGCTTTCGCTTGAGCGAGAAGTGATTGAAATATGTGGTGACCCAAATTGCATTATGTGGCTAACTGCGTTGGACGTTTAGCATGTGGTCAATAGTTGCACTCAACTTCAAACCATCAACTCTTATGGCTCCCAGTTATCCTCGAGGCATGTATATGAACTTTCTCTCTTTTGCTTTCATTGTGTGTCTCTTTTTTTGAAAAGTATAATACTATTACTACTTGTCCACAAAGCTTGGACTTGAACCATGTGCTAACCCATCTCACCATTATATTCCAAGTTTGAAGTAGCTAGCAACTAGCAAGCCTGTTTTAATACGAATTTTGCTGCTTAAATGTTAATTGAATAGGAAGACTTTCTTTAATAGTGAACTTGTTTATACAATCCACTCGTAAAGTGGAGGCTAAAGAATTGAAGTATGGATTTCCCTTGAAGAAAGAGTGGTGTATAGGATGTGTGTGATTTCTATTTTCGTAACGTGCAACTAAACAAAGTTGTTCAGACAGACAACTAGTAGAGTGCAAGGCGCAAAACAGAGGGTGGAGTTGAAAGAGAGGTCGAACATGGTAAAAAGAGATAAGAAATACTTGTTTTTGGAATTTCAAAATTCAATGGATTTTGATTGGTCAAGATGAGTAGTGTGGAATTCTTTAAGACAATAGTTTTAAAAAGCAAAAAGTGAAAAGGGCATCAAACATGCCCTTCATAGCTCACTTTTTCCCATTGGGTTTATGAACCTAGAAGAAGTTTAGCAGAAGGAAAAAAAATTATTTGTGGAATTCCTTATTTCCAATTTGTTGATAACTATATTTCAAGCAAGCAAGGATATGGTAAAATACTGATTTAACTGAACAATGTGTGGAAAAAAAATGGAGAAATAACACTATTGTCATATTGAGATAGAAACTTGTTAATCAATTTCTTTAGTTGCTTTACTCTGCCTCAATATGACATAATGTTATTATCTTATGGCACAAAATTCTGAATTATTTTTTCTACAGGCATGACTTATATGTTTCCTTTGTGTAAGACTTTGGCTTATGCTTGTTTGACATTTTTATTTTATTTTTTTCTGATATGCTTTTAGTCACACCAAATTCTTCCTTGCACAGATTCTGCCAACACCTGTTGTTCTTTAATGAGTAAGCCATGTTGAAGCAATTATCAAACAGAAATCAGAGGACCAAGAGCTTTAAGGTAAAACAAGGTTTTAAAATATTTACTTTGATTGCTGTTGGCATATGGTTGCTTTACCAACTCAAACAATACTCACATGATGAGAATCCGTATGAGGAAAGCTCAGCAAAAATATTTGAAAATCTAAAGGCTGGTCCTGAAACAAAAATACTTGGAAGAAAAGGGTTGAAACCATGGTCAAATGATAAACTGTTTGAATTGATGGAGGATACAGAAGAAAATGAACATGAAAGGAATGATAGCATTATTGGACATGATGGAGAAAGAATTGAAGAGGAAGAGCCTGAAGAAGTAGAAGATCTGATTGACGAACAAGACAAGGAAAAGGAGGAGCAAAATGAAGATGAAGATGGTGAAGACACGGGAAAACAGATGGAAGATATGAGCTTATTAGAGGATGAAGGTCATGACGATGGTGAAAAAGACATACAGTCAAAAAGTGAGAAAGATATCAAAGAGACAGGTACATCTAGGATTGTCATGAGGATGACAAAAAGTTTATGTTCTGAAATTGAATTTGGAGGTTTAAGAAAAGTAAAAGAGGAAGAGGTGGGAAATTAAAAAAGGATTGAAAGAGAAAGGCATAAGAAGGAAATCGTGGACTCAGGCAAAGTTATTGACCACAGGCTAAACATCCAATGCAGTTAGCCACATAATACAACTTGGGTCACCACATATTTCAATCACTTCTCGCTCAAGCGAAAGTACCCGTTGCTTGAGCGAGAATTGACCCAAGAT